ATAGTTTTTTGTGTGGAACCAATTATTATTTTTAATAAATACAAAGTTATGAGGTTTATAATATATATTTATATATAACTTACCTTAATGTAACCAGTAGTCGTTGTTCTATTGATATCGGTTCTTGTTGTTATAGCTTCTAGTTATAATCAAATATTTTTGTTGACATTCTAGCGTATGATCGAAATGACACCTCATTTTCTCATAATTGAGGATATAGATGATAATATTCACCAAATACCAATCGATCATTGTATATTACATTTGAAGCTGTTCTTTTGTTTTTTTTATATTTTTTATATAATACATATTTAATTGCAGAGCTTTCAGTAAGAAACAATTTTTGTTCAAAAGTCAATATTTTTATAAACAATTATAAGAACAGTAATTCTAGAAAAAAGTAACCAAACGACTGCCTGCGATTGAGGACGAATACAAAGTGGGTGTGCATTTGAATAAACATAACATAATATGTATTCCCGTAAATTCGCGTTCATCGCGTTTACATTGGACACTACCGCGACCATCGCATTGATGGACGACAACGCGAACCACATTGATCGCGAATTTCGCGTTGGCCGCGTTTACGTAGGACACAGCGTTAGTTAATTGATTTGATAAAATTAAAGCCATAAATATTATTGGTCTTTAGACAGTTTAAAATGTATATAATTTAAAACATATTTCCTATCACCGTGACTATTTATTTCATTTTGCTTTAAGCTGTTATTGCAAGCACATTTTAATTTTTTAAATTATTTTTTTTGCATTTTTATATACAATGGAATGTACGTCTGAAGGTAAATACCATTAAAACACATTTATATACACATATATTAATGAAGTCAATTTATACTTCGAGATATAATTTAAGATCTAAGATATAATTTATACTTCGTTAGTAAATAATTCAATAACTACAAAATTACAAAATATTAAATCTGTATATTTGTATTATTTATAATGTATATGTTACGGGTAAAGTTCGAAAATGGGTAATTTATACATTACCCAGTTAAAGTATATCTTATTCATATGAATAGTATAATGAGTACATTATCCAGTGTTCTATGAAATAAAAAAAAACCAAATCATATTAATTCAAAAAAAAAAAAAAAAATTATTAAGTAAATTATGTATAATTGAGTTATTATTTTATAAATGAAAATTTTTTAAAAATTATATTAAACTAGCTGAATAACCTGGCTTCGCTCGTGTGTAGTTATTGCTTTCTCTGAAGCTATATAATAAAGCAAAACATACAGTTAGAGTTAGTTTTATAGTTTTATAATAATTAATAGCCGACCCCTGTGCGCTTCGCAGCACCGAAACAAAAATGCAATAAAAATCATATAATTTTTCCTTGAATATAATTTTTTTTTTTTTTTAAATTGTTTATTATCAATCAAACACATTTTGTTAAGTAATATTCTTGGTTTGTCCATTTGGGACATACGTAAATAAACAATTTGGAGTGCCAACTCTTGAACAAGCCACGTTTTATGATTGGTAATGTTAGTTAAAAAAATAAACATAGGTATTTTGTTCCTCTATATTTTACTCAAATTTCTCTACTGTTAGATGAAGGCATAGACATTACTTGTTTGAACATTTTAACTGAAGATATGATGAAAGAACTTGTTCCTAAAATCGGTCATAGAGCAAAACTTAAGGCAAATGTAGATGAATGGAGAAAAGTACTAGATTTAACCAATGATACTCAAACTACATTTATGATGGTGAGCATAGAATCTTATATTGTAATTATTTCAATTAATTAGGTTGATCCAGGGTGATTATTCAAACATATTTTTCTTAACATTTTAATTTTATAATTAAACATGTGATTTAATAAATATTTCTTTATCAAGTCATTGCAGTATTATTAGAAATCCAAACTGAAAATATGATTAAAATCAATTCCACTTAAAAAAATATCCCTAACGCTCAACAAAAAGAAACTATAAAAAAAAAAAAAAGAGTTTGTGCAAAAAACATGGAATAAATATGAAAAAGGGAACATTAGCCAATTACAATAAAAACAATGTTTAGGTTTAAAATATAAGGCTAATAAATTACTTTAAACTGTACTATAACTATACTTTATATGATTTTTGACCAATTATTTATATTTTATATGATTTTTAACTTATTATTATTAATTATTCATATTTTCAAATGGTGTACATCTATTCGCCCAAACGGTAGTTTTAGTTGACTAAACCCTCGCCCAAACGGACTATATTTTGGGTCGATTCTCCCAAAAGGTCTACGCCTATTTTTTACAGCTAATCTTGTGCCGTTGCACAGTTTTGGTGCATTAAAATTCCGTAGTAAAAGTGTGGTTTTTGGCAATGTCGCCGGGGGTGTTCTTAAGAAAGCCATAACTTTGGAACCACTTATCGCAGAGTGTACAAACTTCACAGAAACCATCTAAATATCAATCTTAATATGCCCTGATAATTTTATTAAAATCGATTTGGTGAATCTTGAGTTAAAAAATTTATTCAAAAATGTACACTTTTTATATATATATATATATATATAGACAGATTTATTAAATCACACTGTTCAACGTATTCTGCAAATTCAAAGTATTCAAAGTATAAATATTAACATAGACAAGTGTGAATTATTGTCTAAATAGGGGTGTGATGGAAGCAATGGTCAAACACAGTACAGAATAAATTTTGGTTCATCTACTACACAATCAGTTACGAATAGCGATATGTTTATGTTTTCTTTTGTACCATTAGAAATTAATTGCACGATTGATGACGAAAAATGTATTATTTGGAAAAGTCCAAGGTCTCCTTCAACAAGATTCTGCAGACTTATTATATTTTTATTTAAAAAAGAAACCGCTGAAAATACTCGAGAAAAAGTAAATAATGTTGAAACACAAATAGATACCTTAAATACAACAGCTTTAATTTATAATGATGGTAATTTGAAATTCGAGCACAAGCTAATTTTTTCAATGGTTGACGGAAAGGTAAATTTATTTTTATATAAGACTTTGAAACTATTCATTTTTAGAAATAATAAAATAATGTACCTAATTAATGCACCTATAGGTATGCAATTCAAAATAACTTTTACATCGACCCAAAAATGTTATATCTGTGGTTGTAGTCAAAACATGCCAATGATATTAATAAAGTATTAAAGTTAAGTACTAAACCGGAAAATTTTAAATTTGGTTTATCGATGTTACACGCATGGATTAGATTTTTTGAACGTCTATTCCATGTGTTAAATCGTTTAGACTTCAAAACTTGGCAGGTAATAATTATTATAAGTAAGTATTATACTTATGTATACTTTCTATGAACTAAATTTTAAAGAAAACATAAATTGCTACATCATAGGTGAAAAATACTGAAAATAAATTGAAGTTTGCAAACAAAAAAAAAAAATACAAGAAAAATGTCGTTCCAAAATGGGATTATTAGTAAATATAGTATTATAAGGTATATTTTAATTTAAAAATTATTATGTTTGTAACTATTTTTAATTTAAATTATTATATCGTTAAAATAGGTTGTGGTACAACAAATAATTTAAACACAGCCAGGAAGTTCATTAAAAATGCCAAAAAATCAGCTGATATTACTAGTTTGAACATCGATTTAAACAAACGATTTGGAACGATTTTAACTGTCATGGCAAGTGGGTATGAAATAAATACAGATTTTTTTTGAAACATATAGAATCCAAACAGCTAAACTGTTTGTTGAACTCTACCCCTGGTACCATATGTCTCCATCTGTACATAAAATTTTACTTCATGGAGCTGATGTTATCCGGCATGCAATTTTACCAATTGGTATTTTTAATTATTATTAATTATACTTGTGTGTATAATATGTACAATATATATTTATAAAAAAAATTAATTTTTTCAAAAGGCCAATTGTCTAAAGAAGTCTAAAAATGCCAAAACAAAAATTACAAAAACTACAGGAACATCACACCAGAAAATTATCCAGAGTGAAAATTAATGAAGATCTTATTAGCATGTTGCTAGTTTCATCTGACCCATTAATATCGTCCATGCAAAACATTCAAACGAAAAAATTGCAGACATTTTCAGACGATGCAAAACTTTTAATAATAATGCCTGAAGACTAAGCAAGTGATTCTAGTAAATCTGAATCTGATTCGAAATAATACAACTTCTATAATATTATCATTTAAGTTTAATATTTCTTGCTAAAATTTCATTACTAAACACTATATTGTATATAATTATTTAAATCATATTCTAAAGAATAAAAGTAGAATGACGAAGATTGGTAAGTTTTTATAATAAATAATATTACGATTTAATAAGTTATATAATATTTTATATTAATATTAAATACGTATAAATAAATAAGTGTACCAAATTTGCTAGACGTGTATAGGTACCTATCTCCTAACTAGTAAAACATGGTAATTTATCTTTTTAATAGTTAATACCTACACAAAAGTAAAAACATATGGTAATTTATTACGAATAAAAACTACAATTTAATTTTATGTAAGCTAAATTTACTCTTCAGACCACTGTGCTCCGATGCATTGCACCTCCTGCAACCCCGCTAAATCCGACATTGATCAACTCTTTATTAGAGCCAAAAATACCACTTAAATTAAAAAAAAAAGGTAAAACTAACGTGCATTTTATTATTACAACATAACCGAAATAACCAGCTTAAAGTAACAGCCCTGACAACAATATTTTTAGTTACAATAACTGAAACAAACACATAGAGAGTAGTTAATTTATACAGTCCTGATGACTCTATAAATTAAGTCAAACATTGTTTTAAGTTGAAATAACTTATCAAAACATGTAGAATAGCGTCCTACTTCATTCGTTTCGATAACTGTTTTTTATAATTAAGTTTGCTCGTATCTGTAGTTGCGGTAACATAAATTCATAGTTTTTACAACCAAATAGCTGCAACTGAACGATAATAATAACTAAAATAATATCTGTCATCATGCTCGCAGATAATTTTGGGTTATATTAACTATTACAACATCCGAAAAATGTTTTACAGCGACTAGAACGGGTATTATTTACGTAGTACATATTTCGAAAGATAATCACTAGATTATATCGATGTGGTGACATATTACCCCGGAGTACAGACACGCCGTGAACGCCATGTGACTATCCAGGGCCTTGTAATTGTTCTTCACCATCTCCCGGTACCAGCGCTTCTCTTCGTCATTCTGCCTGGACCACCATTTCCATATCACTTATCCTGTTAAGGGTTCGATCCCTTAGACCACGGGCATCACTATTAATTTAGTTAAGTACGGTATCTCAGCACCCGTCAACATTCCGTGGGCACAGGTCACGCGGTGACTATACGGGAAGAAATAGTTCATGTGAAAAATTATTTACGCGACGAAACCGTTCGGAATATATGCTAAAATCCATTTTATGAATCCAAACAATACGAGTACATAGTATCGAATTGGAACAGCCTTGCTGTATCGTAAGAAAAAATCTCACCCGAAACTCAGTCGTTCAAAATGGCGCTTTTGCTATCCCTATCGGAATTTCTACATTGGATACGGTCTCCTGAATGCCATGCTGCTCATCGTTTGATGATCTCCGAAATCGGTCAACAATCTGAATTACATGGTCGAAGGCATGTTTTTTCGAAATAAAGACCGGAATATGGTTGGTCGTTGAATCTGATAACAGAACGAAAAAAATTAGATACCCGTGTTTGAGCAGATAAAATAAGTAAGATTTACTACTTGCAATAAATTTGTAAATCATCATATGAGTTGAACTCGTTGCATCATCGTGTTTCGTGATTTAGTGACTCTACCGACGAATGAAATGAAACTAATTGTTTTCGCACACACTTGGCACATCGTCGGACGCTCTCGATGAAAGCCGTAAATAATGCCGGAGAAATGTTCGAACGATTTGACACAGGATTTGAACGAAATATTTCGCACCGATCGTGGGCACCAATATTAGTACCTAAATATTAGTATGACTTACAATATTAGTATTAGTATATTAGTACCCCATTATAAGTATGAAGGGTATGTACAATATAAGTCGATAGTTATAATAACACGGTAACAGCGACGCGGTGCGTTTATGTGCGGTGCAACGTGATAATCACGCGGCGAAATCGTCGTCGACGGAAACAACAAGTCGAAACGGTCGGCACGCGGTTCTCAGGCAGCAGCAAAAGACTGTGCTAAGCGCGTTAATTAAAAACGTCTGCACGCGCAAAGTCGTCTCTCTCTCTCTCTCTCTCTCCCACTCGTCGTCCGTGATGAATTGAATTAGTACACGCTTTGTAACTAGAATAAATGCAAACGACGAAGGCATGCGGGGAAACGAGGGCACCATCGTCGTCGTCGGTATGGTAATCGAAAAAGGGTGTGGACCTCGAACGGGGAGGTGACGGCAGGGTCGGCGGCGGCACTCCGAAAGACAGATCGCATTCGTAATTTAACGCGTAAACACAAGCGCGCGCACACAACAACAACAACAACGATGACGGTAATAATAATAATAATAATAATAGCGGCAGAGCCGAGACGAAGGGTAGAAACACTTAACGTCGTTATCGCGCAGTGTCGTGTTGTGCGTAAACCAACCCCAACGACGGGGTCGTGTACGTACATAAAATGTGCGTGTGTACATAAGACCGCTCGAGTGGGACGAAAGGGACGCGTCGCACCCGTCGTACGCTCGTATTTTACGGAGCTTATCGTGCAAAGGCAACTATCAGCGGCGGCGGCTTCATCGTGAATATATTAATACAACGAGCGGCGGTGGTGGTAGCGCGGACGCCGTAACCCTATTTTCAACAGCTTTTTCGTACCGCTATTCGTTTTCCCGTTGCCTGCTCGCTCGTTTATCGCATCCCCTGCCCGCTGCCCCACTTGAATACGGTTGCTCGGACAAGACGTGAGCTCACATCCCGACTGAGGGCTTCAAGTGAATTAATATCGTGCGCGCCAACCCACTAAAGAGAAAAACACGCGTTTAATTCACTCGTCGTATTATCGTTGTAATCCGCGTCGAATTGTCCGGGTATTATTAGGGAGTTTTTGCACAACGCCGGTAAAAAAATAACGTATAGACTCGTTAACGTTATTTGCCAAAATATGTATTTGCGCATGCGCTCCAAATAGCGGTACGGTTATTTGGATATCGTAATCGGTTATTTTTTATAATTTAACGAATGCGTTATTTTAGTCAATTTATCGTAATTAGTTATCAAATCGAACTGATAAAGGAAAATAAAATATCTCAAAAAAATTTATTTTAATTTATTTTAAATATTATTCAATTAAATTGTCCATTATGGAGATATGAATTATGGAGAAAATAAAAAAAGTGCGTTTGAGATTTTCAAATGAAAATGACTTGTATTTGTTGCGTGAAGATTTGTGCCACAATCCTTTTGAGAATGTGATAAAAAGATTGCACTGCTTTTTGACGAAAATGTATATAGAGTTTGATAATACGAAAATAGAATACGTAATAATAATATTACGAGAAACAAAGAATAACAATGATAATAATTTGTATATAATCGTATTATTTGAATTACAACCGTCTAAAACTCTAAAATAGACGGTTACAGCCTATGGTAATTTCTTAAATTACTTTTTTCTTGACTATTATTAATACTTTTTTCTATATAAATTTGTAGTTTTCATAGAATTTTTAGCACTTAAATCTGAGGTCCCTAAAAGTTCGGGAACACAGAACGCGGTCTGCTATATCTTAATCTTAATCTTGTAATTTAAACAGTAGTACACAATTACTAATATCTGTCAACTTGATTTCATTTTTTAATAATCGCCATTTTACAATAATGTTAAGTTCTGATGAGGAACAACTTCTTTTATTACTTGCCCTTAAAAATAAAAGGAAAAACTTGATACATAAAAACTTTAAATATAGAAGTATATTATATTAATAAATCTATTATATTTTACTATATGTTACTATTTTTAGTTTCTACTATAAAGTATATACTTAACGATTATACCCAGTTCTTCGGGTATTTTATTCCATGTTTCTGCTTTTTTTTTTACTACATTTTTATATTTCTCATGATATGTGTCGAATAATTATACATACTTTCTTACTTGCTCGATGAGAATTTCAGTTTCTTCAGCCATTTTAAAAATATAAAATAATAGAATATTAAAAAAACAGAAAATGTATAAACTAATAAATAACAACAGATTGACAGCTGCCCGTGCGGAATTTTGTAATTTTGTACAACGGTATCGCCTGTCGTTGCGATCTAAATTGTACCGCCGCGACAGATCGTCCTCTGTGTGACAGGGATAATGCGATATTACCGCCTAACCACTGCGGGAAAATATCGCTGACCGTAGCGATAGACCGCGTTCTATGTGCCCGAGCCTTAAAGATAGAACATTTGACTGCCGGGTGTTATATAAAGTTATTTACCCATAGGACGTTAATATAGGACGTATTTTAAATTGCTTTATTTTTGTTTAAAATTTCAATTATTTTTATAAAACGACATATGTCTGCCAATATTTTTACCATATCCATACCAATAGATCCAACTGCTTATAAGAAATAGAATCGAGAAACAATCTGGTTTCAATTATAGAGAATTTTAAAGTTGACAATTTCAGACGAGTATGAAGTAAAAACGCCCTTGTACTATTTTCATAATTTCATCATTAATTTCATACTTAGTATGTACAAATAGCATCTACGTATTTCAAAAAGTATATCGGAAAAATTATGATTCGATTGTAGGATAAAAATACGACAATTTTTCCACCCATTGCAATTTGAGCCCCTGGCGTAGGCACAGTTCGCCATACCCTTAGTACATAAATTTAATATAATAATTATTAATTAAACATATAATTTAGAATTATATTTTATAACTGTAGGTAGGTACTATCCATTATTTTGTCTTACACAAGTATTATATTATCAGAGATTATATGAATATAATATTATCATAATACTATTCATATAATATGTGATATTAACTATATTATTATCATAGATGGTCCACTCAAATTCCTTTGTGTAAAACCTAAATTACAATTTGAAGAAGTAAAAAGTGAACTGTACAATTTTTCAATTATTTTATAAAACGATGATCAATGCTAGTATTGGGAATGCAGTTATGCCCAAAAACTCAATGATGATTCTGAAACTGGTTTGAATGAAGATAACGGTAGTATACACAAAAATATTATTTAATTGAGGATATAGAAATATATATATATATTTTTTTTTTAGATCGTCAGGACACTGATGAGAATAAATTAATACATAATAATAAACGGCTGCAATACGATTGCGCACCAAGTTATATGTATATGTACTATGTAGGTATAATAATTTATGTAAAACATAAAATAATGTATACAATACATATTTTCTATATATAATTTTCATATACATGCACTCAAACTTATTACTTATTAATTCACAATTTTCCTTCCTAAATATTACAGGCTTAGGACTGTCAACAAATTATCATCGTTGGCTTGGTTTAAAATTGTTTTTTTTCTAAATTACATATATGCTAAATGTGTATATTGACAAGGTCAATAATCGAAATTTTTTTTATTAAAAATTGTTTTTTTTTTTCGTTTACTGATAATCATTAGTCAATATTTTTATTATAACTATCATTAGCTCAATCAACTTTTCATTTTGATTTTGAAAAAGTGCATTTTATGAATTAATAGTTCCATGGAATATTAACTAATATATATGCACATTATAGAAAGTATGTATTGTATACATTATTTTATGTTGTACATAAATTATTATACATAGTATATATACATATAATTTGGTGCGCAATAGTCTTGTGATTTTATCAGATAAAAAGGGATCTGGGATCTCGTACTCGTAACTTCAGCGATTAATTCTATGCGCTCCTATTCCATTTCCTTTTTTTCAATTGTAATCACTATACTTAATAACTGATCTTCTAGACCTTTTATGGTGACGGTAAAGTCGATTATAGCACATCTGGCATAAAGTTCTGGTGGGTAAGATGGGTTTCCAAGTTTTGAAGTGAGGTATAGACGAAAATGTTCACTTACCTACGTCAACTTCTTTATCTCCAAGTAACACTTTCAGATTTCTAACAGTTTACAGACCATGGTAAAAGGATTAATATCTGTAATCAGTTATTATATTGATGCAGTGGCGGATCTAGGATTGTTTTTTTTTTTTTTTTGGGGGGGGGGGGGCAAAATAGTTCACCATAATTTTGTAAGGACAATATGTAGGATTTGATGTTAGGTCTTCAAATAAAGTATAACTCAAATTTTTCCAGTATGAAAAATTAAAAAAGTATATTTAAATTCTAAAAAAATGTTTGATTAACTCAAATATTCTAAAACAAAAAACTAAAAAACTAGAAAACATTAGAATTTATTAAATTTAATATGTATATATATATATATATACATAAATATATATTATTATAGAGAAAACTGTAAACGCCTAGGTTGTTGTTTGGTAAAGAAATCTAAAACATCTTCTGGTATTACATCAATTTCTTTTTGAATATTGAGTAACGTTAATCCATTTAAACGATTTCCCCCCATTGTACTCCTTAAATATGTTTTTATCCGTTTTTATATGGAAAATTATCGCTTCCAATTGCGTGTTATCACTGGGAATACTGCTAAAATCAGTAAAAGCTTACTAATATTAGGAAAATATCAATTTCCTGCTTAAGCTTCTATAACTGTGCTTATCTTTGACTGGTTGTTTGGTCCAATGCATTTTCCTTAATGTAACTTCACCTGTATAATTATTTTAATTATAATATTTATAATTGTATGTATATAAAAGTAGTTAATATTTTACCTTTTAATTCATTTAAATATCCTAGCAAATCTGACTCATAAAAATGACTCCTTCTAAAATATCCTCTTCGTATTTATCATTTAAGTAACTCGGTATTAGTAGTTGTATTTCTAATAATACGGAATTTTGGTTTTCTAAGAACCTGTTTTGAATATTCTTCATAAAATTATCCAAGATTTTAAAATATACAGTAATTTTAAAATATTCTTCTGTACTCGAAGTAAGCACATTTTATCGATATATTTGTCGATTACATATTCTAGGCGTTTTAAATTCAATATTTAATGATTTAGCTTTAGATACAGCACTATACAAAATATTACAAAATATTCT